CTTATCTAGAATGTAAAATATGTGTCACCCAGTTTTTATATTGATGATATCAGCTTTTAAATTGCTCAAAAAAGTCAAATTGATATAATTCAGAGGAAGCACTTTTGTACACTTTAGATTCATTTGGCGGAATGTAACAAGTACATAAATACTGGTCATTTTCGGTCCCAAAATATTCCTTCTTTAATTTAATCCATACTATGCCTTTCGTATTCAAACAAACAAGCTCAATTTTGTTTATATACTTATCTTTGTAATAGATAATAATACCGCCACTAGAGCGTTTAGCCTTTTTATTAGATTTAGGTCTAGGACATGAAAAGTGATGATATCCATCTATTTGAATATTAGTAATTCTAGAATGCCAGGTTTCAGTAAACAAGAGCACGTCATATTCAATAACTATCTCTATATTATATACATATAAAACTACAATATATATACATAGACAGACAGACCCCTAAATTTTTTTTAATTTAATATCAATGCATATTATAATATGGTAAATCCATTTCAGTTCGAGTATGGGCTAGACTATAGCCTGATGAGCATAAATGACATCTTAAGACACACTCGAACCTACTATTGCGGTCGTGATATAAATTTTATATAATATACATTGATATTGATACTAAATATTTATGTTCAATATATTTTTTTGATCATAAATATTTTCAGGCACTGTGAAGAAGAAAAAAATGTTTGCAACGTACGTATGAAAAATTTGCAATTCCAGACAACAAAAATGAATGTCATGTCAATGTCATCGGTCATAAATAAATATCAATACATAATATATTGTGTTGTAGTATATAAGTTCGAGTATGGGCTAGACTATAGCCTGATTTATATTGTCAATTTGTTTATCAATAAAGCTTTTTACATATTAAAATATTTTTTGTTATATGTGCCATTTAATTTTCAGGTTCTGCGCATAAATTACGTTAGTTAGTAATAGAATGGGTTCAAGTATAGAATACATCAACAGATATAATATGTCTTCTTCTTTTTCGGATTTCATTTAGAAAATAATGTTGATTATAAATTTCTATATTTTAATTTAATTTGCATGTAAAGGACAGTGTCGGATTAATGCAACTTTGATGTGCAGGTCGGTACTCTCAATTATCATAATTGTATACAATTTGATTAAATCATCACCTTTGTGTGCTACAATATACAAGGTCTTTAATCAGCATGGATTAGCACGTGTGATAAACAATACAACAACTACTGTCCTCCACTGATGACCACATTGCTTTTCGGTACACATAGTATGGTCAAAATAAAGACATAACTGAACGAAATTTTTTCTTTATTTTACATAATATAAAAATATAATAATAATAAATATGGTTCAATGCTTTGAATAACTTCTTGGTACTTTTTACACATCATCTTTCTGTCCTTCACACAACCTATAAAATATTAGAAATATGATACAATATGATATATGGTATGAGCAAGATTGAAAAATCGTGTAACTAATCATAATATTTTTAAATAAAATAAGTTCAACTTAATAAATCAATTTATAACACTTTCACATAATTAATATGAAGGATTAGTGTGATTTATATAAATATTCGAGTGCTATTCGGTAAAGTAGATGTACTTTAGCATTACCGGAAAGCAATCAATACAACTTTGTAGCAACTTTGAAAATCGCGTAATAAAACATAAAATATTTATAAAAACGTCATGATATACAGATGTTCAACTACTAAATAGATTGAAAACACTTTCAAACCAATAAAATAAAGTTTTCATGTATTACTTGGATAAACAATATTGCTATTCGGTAATGTACATGTATCTTAGCAGGACCGGAAAGCACTCAATATATCAGTTTTCCTAAATACTCGTAATAATTATCAATATATATTTATAAAAACATGTTGTCTGAAAGATTTTGATCTAATAAATCGATTGGTAACACTTTCAAACCAATAAAATAAAGTTCTCATGTATTACTTTGATAAACTATATTGCTATTCGGTTAAGTACATGTACCTTAGCAGGACCGGAAAACACTCGATATATCTTTTTTTCCTAAATAATCGTAATAATAATCATAATACAATTACAAAAACGTGTTGTCTGAAAGATTTTGATCTAATAAATCGATTGGTAACACTTTCAAACCAATAAAATAAAGTTTTCATGTATAACTTCGATAAACAATAATGCTATCCGGTTATGTACATGTATCTTAACAGGACCGGAAAGCACTCGATATATCTATTTTCCTAAATACTCGTAATAATTATCAATATATTTTTAAAAAAATGACTTGTCTGTAAGATTTTGATCTAATAAATCGATTGGTAACACTTTCAAGCCGATTAATTAACGTTTTCATATGTTTTTATGAGAAATTTGAGTGCTTTCCGGTTTTTCGGTGCTATCCGGTGCTTTCCGGTTTTTCTATGCACCGTATCTATAGCCCTGCAATTTTAAACAATTCAACTTACCAGACTCTACTACCACAGACCCTGGTTTGAGATCAAGCTGTAAAGTTATTAAACTTATGTCTGTTGAATACAATATTTGTGTTCTATGAGGCAAACTTGTGGTCCAAAACTCTGCTGTCGGGTAAAGGACATACAAATATCCTTTTTTACAATGAACTTTACTTCCATATCTAACCCCTATCAAATCAACATGTCTTAAAGCCCCATATCGCGTTTGAAATGTGTCATTTTTCCTTACAACGATTGTGTGCATGTTATCAAAGCCAAGATATAGCATGACAGTGTCTCCATCGTCTATTTTGTCTTTATATTTTGCAAAACTCATATTTGCACGTTTTTTTCACACCGGAAGTTGTCAAATTGGACAGTTTAAACTCCGGCCTACAGTACACTCTGTCTAAAGTCTGTGCCGATTGAGAGTCGATGAAGAATACGATCTAAAATTAATGAGGAAATAAAAAAAAAAATAAGAAAAAAAAAAAAAAAAAAACAAATTGCTGAAATATTGTCATCAATTTTTTCAAACTGTAAGGTGAGATTTTGGCTTTATTCCAAAATAAATAAAGAAATAAATACTCGTAATATATGTGGAATTTTTAACGCCCCTATCTTTCTATAGTACATGTATATATGTTTAGCCCTTTCGGGCACAAAATAGAAAAAGGGGAAACCTGAAATCATATTCCTGAAAATGGGATTTACCCACACATTATATGAAAAAATTAATTTCATTTTAATTTAACATGCGTGGTACATATATAGCCGATCGAGGCTATCTATAGGGACAGATTTATGTCTTTTAGCTGATAAGTCAGATGCTATTAAGTCATGGGTCTGGTAAGTAAGAGCACGAGGCATTTTAGGGGAAAATGTTATAGCATTTTTAGGGGAAAATATACCTATTTTTGGCAAGGGGAAACAGCCTTTATTCGGCTGTAAAAAACAGTGAAAAAATCACTGTCATTCTATTGCAGATTATGCAATACAAAACTGATACAATAATCTGAAAAACTTATAACTTTTTCATAGATTATTTAGTAATATTGGGTAGGATAATTCTTGCATTTGCAAATAATTGTTTTACTTTATTTAGATATTTTATATGTGTTTAAACAAACATACTGTACAATGTTTGGGAGTTTACTTCTTAGATATACGTCATAAGATTTATCGTATCTGTCCCGGAAATGACCAAAGCTCAAAATAAATATAAAACAGCGATTTTCTCGATAAAACTGATATTTCTATCAAAATTCTCCACCTTTGTTGACACAAAATTTTGCGAAAATGTATCCTAAAAGCACATGACGTCAAAACTATGTACAAAAACTGTATACTATGTGTATGTATAAAATTATTTTAACATTTTGAAAAATAATTTACGTGACCGTGACTTGTAACCTGTGGATTTTTTAGAGGTTCATTGTATGTTCGCTTCGCTGTATCTATATGAATAGTCTTTATTATATATGCTGTTCAGTTAATATATCCAACCAGCAGTTAGTACGCACAATCCTCATATGTATCATGTTACTTTTACTCCAAGTTATCAGTTATCAGTCTTCTCACATCCCCTCGGAGCGTGCACGTCGCTGAGAAGGCACAGGGCATCGGCAGATGATGGAAGTTCGAGTTATAATCGTTTAAGGCGGCTGCTTCGTTAAGTTAGCTGCCGGTGTCCTGACAAATGCCGAGGGGAGTGGCCCTACAAAGTAGGCTGAGACGACGAGGATGGTGTACTAGGGTGCGTGAGCCCCTAGTACAGATAGACGGCTTGTAAGGCAGGCCTATAGCTGGCATTAACAGCCCTTTTCAGGGCTAAACACCTTTCCTATTGTCACAGGTTACTGTACATTTAGGTTCTCATTGACCGCCGTACAGTGACCTACTTTTCGGCTCAAAATTCATATCTTTGGCTAATACTCCGTGGAAATTGCATGGAGGTAAATTATCACCATTTTGTGCTTCAAAATTAACTCTTTAAGGACATGACTGGTGACATGTCCGGGGTCCGTACTCGACAGCGCAAGCTGCATTTTGTGCCCGAAAGGGCGGATGGACCCTCATTAAGCTTTAACTACATACATACATGCAAGTTATCAGTATCTATTATCAACGAACAGTATATATCAATTTGAGCAAATGTATATAGTACTTCATACTTGAATTTTCACGCTTTAAAAATACAAAAAGAAGACAATGATTTTTAAGGTAGTGCAGAAGTCACGAATAAAAAAGCAAATTGATTGTGAAAAGATCAGTACTGTAGTAAATGTACAAATATTGTTTTACACATATATATTTGCTAATCAATACAAGTTAAATATCACTATTTGATTTAGTGCATGTACATGATATATGTATTTAAAGGTTTCCCCGTATTTCACTTCAGTGTTATCATATTTTTCTGGTCCTTCGGGATCATTTATCCAGCACTTTTAAATGTTGAAAATTGATTACCGCTCAAGCCGGTGCAAGGGGCTTAAATGAAGGATGTTGCATTTTCTTATAATCGTTCAAATACTTCCGAGAGATCACCATTTTCCCAGATTTTTAAAATACCAACTGATGGTGCAATTCTTGTAAATCACTTCATGATTCATTATATTTTACAAACAGTCTGAAAGTATGGGGAACCTTAAAGAGTAGACATTGGAAAAGTAATTGATTTTCATTTCACACTTTTTCTAAAAAAATCAATGATTTGTTTGCTTAAATTGATTACTTCTCTATTAGAATATGAAAGTCAATTTATATTCTATTTATTTTAATGTGAGAGGAAATAAATATTGTGAAAACGCGCACTATTATTTGACTTGATATTCATAAAGTAGTCCGTTTGTCACTTAAGTTTTGCTCTCACATATCAAGTTTTAAAGAAATGTAATTACGTCGTATGCATTTGAATGTTATATAAGCACTGCATTTTAGTCACCACTCTACATATCTTACAAATGGACGTGTCCATTTTCTGAAATGAACTTCAGTTTTTATTCCAGACAAAATTATTCATCATTTTTTGGGGGGAAATTTCAAATAACTGACTTAATAGAACAAGAAAAAAGGTGGGTCAGCTATCGGGCATAGAGTACTTTTTTGGAAAACGTAACAGGGTCCCCAGAAATTTTTCCTCTGCACTAGGTGATTATTTTGAATATATTTGGCGAAGAAATACGTACGATAACATGAAATTTTAGAGTAAAAAAAAACAAAACAAAAAACAATATGAAAATTAAAGAAAAAAACATATAGAGAAGATGGAAGAAGAAATATTATAAATGCGCTTTTTAATCGTTTTGTTTGTTAGTAACGTTACATAAGTAAAGCACCTGAGCTAATACAGGAACCTGAAAAGATACATAATTATTTGCCTCTTTCATAAACTTTAATTTTCCCGAACTGATAATGAACCAAATATATTTATCAATTAGGCAATTTAATGATGCAAATTTTCTTAAACTGGCTTTGTATTTTACCCACAGACGGCTAGGAAAAGATCTCTGAGTTTATGTTTTGAAACTGTACGTAGCACTATTTTGGCATAATTTTGTATCGTTAAAATATTATCATTTGTCTACGAGCTCATATATTTTGTAATTGTATATACATTTGTACTTCATAATTTCTGTATATTTCGTTAGGTTCCTTTTTATATATGTGTACATAGATTTTGTTTAATGTAATACGTTCGTCGGACTTCGCTCATTCAGATTTGACTTTCAAGTATATTCTTGTTTTTCGGGAAGAAATAGGTATTTTGTGGGCGTTCGATAGAGTATTGTTCAAAAATACTGGCCAACATCGAGCAAACATATTCAGTCTTAAAGAAGCTTTAATATCAACACTTGAATTGCGAAACAATATTCATCTTAATTCTTATGTAAACCAGTCAAAATTATATTTCTATGAGAAATGTACTATATATTGACCAATTCTTCGGTTATTGATTCACAAGATATGCAGCAATCCAACCGGCCAACATTTATTAGAAAATATTTGGATCGTCAGTTTACTTAATAATAATGTCAAGCGGTTTACTTGTGTAATCATTTGAGCCGCGTCACGACAATTAAGACCAACATAATGGGTTTGCGACCAGCATGGCTCCAGACCAGCCTGCGCATCCGCGCAGTCTGATCAGGATCCATGCTGTTCGCTATCAGTTTTCCTACTTGTTATAGAGTTTGTAAGCGAATAGCATGGATCCTGATCAGACTGCGCGGATGCGCAGGCTGGTCTGGATCCATGCTGGTCGCAAACCCATTATGTTGGTTTTGTCGTGACGCTCATTTTACTCCCTGATTTTGTTTTGTAACAGTTATGATTGTTTCTACATAGTGAATGATTCGTCGTCAAAACAAAACTTGGGTTGCAGTAAAATGATTGGTCAGAACAATATCAATACACAATACAAATTTACTTTTCGACAAAGTTCAAGCATTTTACAGAAAATATCGCTTCAAACGGTCAGTTTAACCCCAATAAATAAATATGCAAAAAATACTTGGATTCGTGGGTATTGGCGTGTCAGGGCTCACCCTTTTACTAGCCATTATGGCCCTTTTGCTCAAATATTGGCAAACTACAAATCTTAACGGAACGACCGATGTCAACGTTGGACTTTGGGAATATTGTGTCGAAACAAATTCTGTGAAGACATGTACAAAAATTGATTCGAACTCGGGTAAATATTAAATTAAATGCCAACTAATTATTTTTTTACGTAAACTATATAATTTTTAGGAAAATGATTACACATATGCATGTACATTTTGTACATGTAAAACAGATTTGCAAAACAGAAAACATTTTACATAAATAACGTATTTTCTGGAGGATGATTAAGACTTTAATTTTTTTCAATATCATACGTGTGCACAGACTAAATAAATGTATTTTATACTATAGTCAAAATGTGAAGAGGGTCATGATCGTTTTCCCGATGTTTTTAGTAATTTTATCAAACGTTATATTCAAAGAGATTGTGTCGTATATAATTGAAAAATATTGCACACTGATGATCAGCAGCCATTTTGACGGACCAAGTCGGCAGTTCTTCAAGCCCATTGAGTTTGAATTGTCTCCGTTTTCATCTTATTTCCTTGAATCACCAGGCCCTTACATCAGCAAATTATTGAAAATGATATTCATTTAACTTACTTTCATGCTACAATCTACAATGTAATGATATATTTGTTGCCCCGAAAATTGGTATGATAACCTCTTAGGTCATGGGAATTTGACCGAATTTTATGCAGTGGGTAACTTTCTTTCCCTTCATATTAATGTTCAGTAAAAGGTAATTCGTGTATATTTTTATTACAGTAAAAGACAAGGATTTGAAAGAATACCGCAGCGTCCGCGGAACATTATTTGTTGGTATTC